TATATATATATATAGAGGCATTAGTGTAAGGTATGGTGGGGAGTGACATTGCTACACATCACTGCACCCTTCAATTGCAAAAAGTACTGATCGGTAAACAACAAGTAATTGTAAAAGTATGATCTGCAATAGTTCAATCTGATTTTCATTACCTCTGCATGATCAATAGAAGTGTACAGACTAGATACATCACACATTACTAAAATAGGATAACAAATTAAACAAATATAATTGAGCTTCAATAAAAATCAGTAGTATCTTTGGTATACAAAACTGTATTAATTATCAGCAGTGTAAGCACAGTATCAGAAATTTGGCCAAAAGTGTACTTGCAGATCCCATATATGCCACTATCAGCCTCCATGGTGGTCATTTTGAGTGTTTATGTATTGTATTACCCAAATTACTATTTTAAGTTATGAACCGCTATATAACTGAGACTGAGTACTGTATTGTGTCCTGCCATACTCTGTGTAATTATCTGGATATGCCTGGGCAGAACAATAACCCCATTTACAATTCATTAGTGTGCAACACCCTCGTGGACAGTGATAACCCACAACACAGACTATATTCAATTACTAGCTCCCACCTCAGGTGGAATATTTAAAACAAAAATAAAACTATATACATATGTCTTATGATGATTTGACATAAATGCATAAGGTAACAGTGGGCAATAGATACAATTAGGTCACTACAGAGTATTTCTCTATCAAATAAACACTTATTACCTTATCAATGATCGTTTTAGCGTGTGCATTGGTCACAACTTTTTCACATTTTCTCTGTACATTAAATGTTGGATTTAAAGTCATTTTTTTTATAAACAGTGCTGTCAGACAACTGCCTCAATATTTCCTATTCATAATTATCCATATTCATCATTACTATCTATCTTTCCTTGTTGGCTGGTTTAATTGTTATATCTTATCATTTTGACCATTCTCTGTTACTGTGTGGGAAAATTGGGGATATGGTCAATATTATAATTATCCATCAAGAGTTTATCTATATGTGTTTTCACTTTTTTAATAAATATTTCAGCAGGAGGAAAAAAAGTGGGTGAAACAACATTACTTTTGTTCCATCACCCCAAGGTTCATACGAACAACTTATTTCTAGTTTCAGAACTAGATAATGCTGGTGGTTAGACTACCACAATGTTTTCAATGTGATCTGATGATACAACCAATACAGACCTTTTTGTAGTACAAATGTATCCATGTTATGTTCAACCCTAATTCAAAACAGATTGTTCAGCTGGAGTTAGATTTACCTGGGTTGATTTATTAAAGGCAAATAGGCTGTTAATTTAGCTAGGGAATTTCCCCCTAGCTTGGTGAATGTGGTGAAACTTCACTTTGCAAGGAATATCTAATCACATGTAAGGGAAATTAAAAAAACTGTATTTTTGCTTGCAAAAATTGGATAATGGAAGTCTGCAGTGCTTCCACTCTAAGCTAAGTGAAGCTTCACTAAGCTAAAGGTAAATATCCCTTGCAAAGTCTCTTGCCACTTCCCCTCTGCCTGGAGGCCTTTGATTGGTGGTAACTGATAAAGAAGAAGAACCAGTAGATATAGTGGAAAGAGCCAGTGCATTATGAACCTACCAGCAGTATAGGATTATGTTCTTCTTAAAGGAGAACTATGGGGTCAGTGTTCTTCCCCATAGTTCTCCTTAGGATAACGGGAGGACACAAACTAGCGTCCTCCCGTTACCCTAAGCTCAGTATACCGCAAGCTACAGCTCGCGGTATACTGAGACACCGCAGCCCGGAGCGGATCCCGACTTAGACGACGGGAACCGCCCAGCTGTGGGAGTGACAGCTGGCTCTGCCTATCTAGAGGCAGAGCCAGATGTACCCGCCCCCTCCCCCATCCGTTCCGCCAGTCAGCGCTGGCAGATCGGAGCGGGGAGAGGGGAATCCAGCCCCTCCCCCTGTCATGGCAGAGAGCCGTGACTGGATCGAGAGGTGAGCGAACCCGGTATGTGTTCACTCACCTCCCGATCTACTGAGCTGACCTGTGACAGTCTCATTGTCACAGGTCGGCTAGAACTATGAGGTGAGTGAAAAGCACTCACCTCATAGTTCTCCTTTAATTCAGGATCAGACCAACTATATACCAGGTTGGATTATTCTGAAATTGTTCAACAATTTTTAAATGCAGCTTTTCATAGATTGGTGAACCTCTGCCATCTTCTTCTGAGATACTCTGACTCTCTAAGATGTTCTTTTTATACCCAATCATGTTACTGACTTGTAGCCAATTAACCTAATTAGTTGCAAAATGTTATTTTTGCTCTTCGTTTTTAGTACCACTTACTTTGTCAGGTTTTTTGTGCCCTGCCCCAACTTTTTTGAGAAGTGTTGCTGCCATTAATTTCAAAATTACCTTATTTTTTTCTTAAAATGGTAAATTTTCTCAGTTTAAACATTTGATATGTTTTCTATGTTCTATTATAAATAAAATCTGGGTTTATGAGATTTGCAAATCGTTGCATTCGGTAGATTTTACACATCTTCCCATATATGTGTATACAACGTTTGTGCATTTAAATAACCGGAAAATACCCCATGACTTTTGTGAACATAATTTATTATGAACAAAATTAAAAACGGTTAATACAATGCAGTATCATAGTTAATAAATAACAAAAACATGGAGTGTTGCTTATATATGTTTGCCTCATTATTGCCTTTACTATAGAGATGTTTCCAATTTGAAGTACTTTTCTGCTATAGGAGTGTGAGCACCTTGAAATATAGTTTTATGTGAATATGTTGCTCATGTGTTTGCAGTTTAGATCCATCTATATTTCATTGTTTTATTTATTTTAGGAAAGAGACCTTTTCATGACATTTAATATATCAATGCATCGTTCCTGGTGGATGGAAAATGGTCCAGGATGCATGGTTACCTCAGTAACTCCAGCTCCAGAGTGGGCACCAGAAGATCATCGTTATATAACTATCTCTGAGTGCTTATTAGAGTACCAGTATATAGAAGTGGCACACAGCTCTCTCCAGATCTTTTTTTCTGTAAGTAAAAAGCTTTTGTGCTTTGACTCATACTGTTGCTTTTGTTGTTATCTTTGGGGTGTTATTTACAAAGTTTGAAAACAATGAATAAAGAATTTTGTTGAAAGTTACAAAATATGTATTTAGAAATTCTGTTGTAGCAATGGCTGTTGACCTCTTTTTATGAACAAGACTAAACATTTGCACTGTTCCTCATTTGAAACTTTGTAAAGTAAATAGAGAATAAGAGAACTGTGTCAGTTACACTTGATAATAGATGGTAGGTGTGACTGGCATGGACACTAGTGCTGTGATAATGTCCTATTACAAAATATTTTTATATGTGCCAGGAGACTTTTTGTAGGGGTTGATACAGGGAAGGACACATACATTGTTACTTGGCAGCTAAAACTTGGTGTTCAGACACAAAATCCCCAAGCCACTATAGAAATATTACAGAAAATACATGATGCAAATGCTTGCAACCTTTTTTAAATTGAAAAAGCTTTGACATTTTAAGCATATATCAAGGTGGGTCTACTATTTATCTATTGGTATTAGATTGGTAGATAGTGACTGATGAACATTACATAAGTACTTAGACAGATCTGATGATTATTACTGGATTTATATTTCCTGCCACCTGCCCACCTGCCCCTGTCTCCTGGCAATAAGGTTCTAAGTGTCCAAACTCTAAGACACTCTCTAAGAGTGGGTGAATTGTTCACAACACTTGTTTATTAACAAACAGCAAGTTTTACTAATTTATAGAGCTGAATTTACCATAATGTTATATGTGGGTTGGAAACAGGATTAGAGGGGCAGCACCAAGCCAAAAATGTTACCAACTGATTATTTTTCTTGATTTAAATGCCCTAAGCTCTCTATCTCTGGACATGTGTGGCTTAATTCAGCTAGGTGCAGGAAATGTAGGAATGAGTCAAAAGGAATGACTTTAAAAAAATCTTGTTTGATGGTCTGTACGGTTGAAAATTAGCTGTACATATAATATAGGCTACATGCTACCTCCAAAAGCACTGTGTAGCAGTAGTGTAATAATAATGTAATAATGCAGCAATGTAACAATGTAACTATATAATCATCCACAGTCAGATAAGTAGTGTTAGTTGTGTGTCAGTGTATTGTCCATGTCATTTTCCAATAATTTTTACGCCATCTATGAGGGTTTGAATGTCTTTCTTTCACACTACACATTATTCCATATATTGTTTGTGTTAGCCCGAGCATTAAACTACCTGTATGATTTACAGACAAGCTATCTGTATGGTCTGAAAATTGCCCTCAACAGACTGCTGTATTCCCTAAATTGATTTCTAAATATAAAATGATTGAACTTCATAGGCTGAGCAGCTGCATGATTGGCCCGAGCCTAGGTCATAATAATTTCATATAAAGGATGTTCATTGGCTTAGCTTGTGAGATTTTTTTCTTACACGCTTAGCAATCAATTATGAGGGCTTCCAATTGATTGTGATTGCTGTCAATTATCACACATATTTAGCATAACTAAAAATTACCCCTGTACCCTTGTCGTAAATAGCTACCTAAATAATTGTTAGATTTCACTTGAAGGGCACATTAAATATACTGTATTCAGTAATAGTTTATTTGCTGTTTTGTCGAATGTTAGAAAAACATTTTCTACAATGCTCTTCTTGGATTCTGCACACAGTAATGAGCCATTTTAAAGCTGTGCTAAGCACATGAAACACATTTTCATTCAGATAATGAAGTACTTCATTAATCTGATAATTACAATGTAAAGCTTTTGTAATGAGCATGCACCAGGTTGATAATGACCCTGCCAACATTGCGTAACCCCAGTTTTTGTTTTTGGCTTGTTCGTGTAACTCTGCTACGGTCATTATACTGTTGGTACATGCCTTTAACTGAGAGTTTAACTAGCAAAGAAAATACCTATTTTAAGGCTTTATTACCATCAACTGGCTTTCCTGTGTTCTAGTTCAATGATTGTGCATGTGGCAAGAGATGCTTTGTAGTCACTTTCCATGGCAATAAACAACAACATTTTAATGTAGTCATTTGGACGTCTTTCAGCTCCACTGTCCATACACCTCAGCTTCATTGTGTCCAGCCTCCTTCACTAATGATAGCTGCTTTGTGCTTCTTTCTGCATAATGCAAAAAAAAACATAATGGAAAGATGAAAGTGTACAGAACACATTTGGCATAAACTAATGGAAATAAGTGATTATTAATTTAATACCAATGTAACATTACTTTGTTGTTACAAACAACTGATTTATTAAACTAAATCTTATGAAAATGAAACACATTTTTACACTGTGAAACCTAGCAACCAATATTTTTTTAACAGCAAAACAGTGACATCTTTAAACAAACCAATTCATACCAGCATCTCAAATCTTCTGTATGACACCAGTCTTAATGTGTATTTTTGTATACTTTGTATTTTATATTGAAATGTATTTGAGCATAAAACTAGCAAAAACTGCTTTGGGTGGGCCCTCAAGTGACCACTAGTCCTGCATTGTATGTGATTATCTGTATTATAGTATTTTATGTTAGAGGGGCAGCCATGTGAACAGAAAAAAGAAGCAGCTTCATGATATTAGTCATCAAAACTGGAACTGGTGGGGGAGGAGGTCTGAGGGACAGTGGATTAATAATCTAGTAATCTCCCTCTATACAAGAAACAAATAAATACGGAGAAAGGCAAAAAATTAACAAGGAAAGAGAAAAGAATGGAGGAAACAGACAGACAAAAGCACTACAGTCACTCTATGCTAAATAAGTTCAATGTTTCAAATGTATGGGATACTCAGAAGGGCTGAACAATATTGGTAATTTTTACTTTCTCAAAATTTCAACAAAAATGTGTACTTTTTGGGCATATTTTGCCACTTTTGCAAATGTATCATAGTCAATGAGGAAAAGGAAAAGTGTTTTTTGGTTATTTGTAATTTATTAAAGGGCTAATAAGGGTTATGCAACCTCCTCTGAATTATCCTAGACCTTCTTTTTGCCAGTCCTCAACAAGCTAGTGCAATTTGGCTGTTGGTTGTCATTGCTAACCATAAGACATGTAGTCAAGAACCAGCTGCACTCCTTACCGGAATAGTAGTAAACCTGCCAAGCAGGTGGGTGCTTGTAGTGACCACGGACGGCCCCGTGAACAATGCAGATCTAGAAAGGATTGTCACCAGCACACCAAAAGTTTTGAAGCAAAAAGTCCTTTATTGACAAATCGCCATCCTATACAAGCGCTTTCGGGGTCTCAGCAGTACCCCTTCATCAGGCTCAGAATGAGCCTGATCCTGATGAAGGGGTACTGCTGAGACCCCGAAAGCGCTTGTATTGGATGGCGATTTGTCAATAAAGGACTTTTTGCTTCAAAACTTTTGGTGTGCTGGCGACAATCCTTTCTAGATCTGCTAACCATAAGAAACCCCATCCTAATGCCACCAAAGAAGCCACCAAAGTATTAGATTTAAGAGAATGAGAAAGTGTTGAATCAAACCTATCTAGCCAAGCTCTTCTGAATTGTTTAGAGAATCCCTTCAAATTGCAAATACAATCTTTAATATTCATGGCATTGTTCACCCTTGCAATTTAATATCCAATTATATAGATTCAGGTTGTTTCCAAAAAGTGATATGCAGAAGAGCAGACTGAATTGATTAAAGTGACACTAAACTCAGGAGTTAAACCTTAAAAATACATTCAAGTACCCTAGGCTGTAAATACTCAACTCATCTCTGAATTGGTGATGAAACTGTCCTTCCTTCTGCAGGGTGGCTACTTCTGTTCCCCATGGTCCCTGTATGTGTTGTAAAGTAGCAACCACTGAAAGCTCACTCCTGCAATTAACTATAATTTCGGAGCGGTGGCTACTTTACAACACACACAGGGACCATGGGAAACAAAAGTAGCCACCATCCAGAAGGAAGGACAGTGTCAGCATGAAATCAGAGATTATTTGAGGATCTACAGCTGAGTGATACACAAATAAGATACATTTTTGTTAATAGTTAAAGTATTTGAATGCATTTAAGATTATGATTTAACTCCTCAGTTTAGTGTCACTTTAAGCTGATAAATAGGTGTTTTTGTAACTGTTTTTGGAAATGTAATTATAATTAATACGAGGAAAATGGAGTCTTCAGAAAGAGACAGGCCAGTTACATTTTAGGATATTTTGTGGACTTCATGATCATGATCAGAATATATGCAATGTTGAATCTGACATCATGCTACATCTTCAGTGAATGTGTAATGAAAAATCTTCTGTTACATACAATATAGCAAAGAAATGGTATTCTGCAGACTGTGCCTTGTCATTTATTACACATAGGCAATTTATGGGAAAATGGGACATGTTATCTTGCTCTTGTAGAGTTGGTGTTGAATTCCATTTTTTCTCAATTTCCATCAAAGCAAGCACTAAGGATTCTAGTGGTGTGGTCAGAAGGTGATACATTAGGAATAGAGTTCAATAGTAGGATCCCTTACCTACTGATAAGTCTTTGATGGTCACAAGCCCATAAAAAAAAGACAGAATGATGATTTAGAGTATCGTCATTGAACAGCTTGCTAGAAGTCTTCAAAAGATAGGCTGGCTATGATAAAAAAAGTGTGTCTCACCACATATGTCTGGATAAACAGAGCTTGTAATTATATTTATGCTTCTGATTTTACTAAGCTGAACTCAACAAATGTTCTATTATATAAATTGGATAAAGAGTTAGGAATAGCATATATAGATAGTAGAGGGAATCGTGTTAGGGAGATGTTAGGTTTTGTGCAGATTTTCCTGTTAATCTTCAGATTATCACCAACAATGGAATGGTATCTTAAAAATTTAGTAATGTTTTTGTTAATACATTCCAGTACCTTTGAGGGAAAAAAACGGTAAATATTTGCTCTACCTTTATCCATGGGATATGGTTCTGGTGTTACACCAGCCAAGAAATCAAGACTGGTAAGCAATGCCAGCATTGCTTTGCAGGAAGTAGGGAATTTATTTTTAAAGGACTGCTATACTAATAACAACACATCTCTCCTCTATGGTGCTTTCATGAGTACTGCTTATAACACAACCACACATAACACATTTTTGCATGATTTTTTGTTTAGATCTGTATACCTTTAAAATGTAATACTTTTTTTTTCTTGGTACTCCAGTCCTGTTCCCCAAATCTATAACCAAATATAATATAGCCACAAATTTCACTTCTAGCAACAAGCTGTGTACACTGTGGCTGACATGCTGCTCTGAAAGTTTTATATATACTACAAAGAGCTTTACTGTGATGTGATATAATCAGTAGATGTGAAGAAGTCAGTTTTAGAGCTTTTTACAGCACAGTATGGTGAACCTGCAGAGAATGCTGCCAGATTGGAGCAGCAGTATAAAATGTAACCCTAAATGTCCTATTCTGTATGCTCATTCATACATACTGCAATGTAAGGTGCAAAAAGCAGTGCTTAACAAATACAGTATGTGGCTGCAGTAAAATATTTGAATGTAGGTTTCAAGCATGGGATTACAGGCGACCTGTGCATTATAGAGATATACGAATCGAAACACTTGTCCATTTTCTAATAAGCAGTTATGCAAAAAGAAAAACAAATACTCAAAACATTTTTGCAAGTATGGGACAACACAGGACAGTGTCTTAGAGTAAAATAAGATGGCCCCACTGTGCATCAAGTGAAATCACACTGAACTGGAAATGGAAGATACTATATGGATAGGCAAGAAAAACAATGTCCCCTCTTCAAGTCAACAATAGCGGTAAAAGCAGATGATAAAATATATTACATATTTAATAAGATAAAACAGAATTACAGGCATTATAATTTCCTTAAATAACCTTTTCTTTTCTTTTTTATTAGACACTGTAGTCCCCTACACATGAGGACTCAGATTAGTAAAAGAAAAGTCAGTACGTCAAGCCAATCAGGCCCCACGGCACAATTCTTTCTCTCAGTAGGAGCTTGCCATTGCCATTGGTCCAAGCCATCCACAGAGCTCAGGCCTCTAACACTGAGTAGAGGCTGTGACAGCTCTTGCCTCTCCAAGTTAGGTTACACAAGCATTGGGGAAGCCCGCTGCTGTGTAACCTAACTACCTGTCAAAAGCCGGATGAATGTAATTAACAGGCAATGCTTCGTCCAGGGTCGGTGCTAGGATTCTAGGCAAGGTAGGAAAGGTGCATTTTTGCGCCCCCGACCCCCTGTAAAAACAGGGCATTTTGAAAAGTACTTGTACTTGTCAAAATGCCCCGATGTTTGCGCTGTTTTTTTTTTCACTTACCTTCGGCGCGGGAGAGCAGTGGCGAGTCAGCGCTGGTCCGGTGGGAGGAGCTCCAGATGGGGTCCTAATTTAGCTGGCCGGCGACAGCCTGAGGTGCCGCGCGTGTCGGGATCCTCTGGCAGTCGCCGGCCAGCTAAATTAGGACCCCACCTGGAGCTCCTCCCACTGGACCAGCGCTGACTCGCCGCTGCTCTCCCGCACCGAAGGTAAGTGAAAAAAAAAACATAGCGCAAACATCGGGGCATTTTGACAAGTACAAGTACTTGTCAAAATGCCCTGTTTTTTCCGCCCTCACCCTGCAGCACCCTCAGGCGGCCGCCTGACTTGCCTTGCGGTAGCGCCGGGCCTGGATCCGTCAATGAAAGGTTAGACAGAAGGGAGGCTTTCCCTGCTGTGTAACCTGTAACAAGCCGCT